CGACAAAAACACTTGTGCTTAGAATTACAAAGAAGCAAATTTCTATGACACATAATAAAGAAAAAAGCAACAGAAATACGCTTCGAAAGAACAAAGCTGACAGCGTATGAGCAACGACCAAATGGTTGTAAAGGATTAGTATCATAAAGAGACATTTGAAATTTCAGAGAGGCTTAATGAAGTAAAAGCCACCAGAAATCTGGTTGTAAAAAAGCAACACTGAAAACATATGAGCGAAAAGTGAAAAGACTCTTTTGCTTAGAATGGGACATATGACATTTCTGGGACACATAATGGAGTAAAAGACAACAGAAATTTGGATCTAAAGAACAATGGTCACAATATATGAGCAACGACAGAGAGGACACTTATGTTTAAAATCATAAAGAGACAGCTGAAATTCATGGGACACATGTACTGTAGGAAGAAGCAAAGGTAATGTAGTTCTAAAAAGCAATGCTGACAACATATGTGTAACACCAAAAAATAATACTTATTGATAGAATAATGAAAAGACAGTTGAAACTTATGGGACACATGTATTGTAAGAAGAAGCAAAGGTAATGTATTTCTAAAAAGCAATGCTGACAACATATATGCAACACCAAGAAATAATACTTATTGATAGAATCATGAAGAGACAGTTGAAATTTATGGGACACATAAATAAGAAAGAGACAAGAGAAATGAGGGTCTAAAGAAAAACAGTGAAGAAATATGAGCAACGACAAAAAGGAAAATGAATCTTAAACTCATAAAGAGACAGTTGAATTTTTTATGGACACATAATTAAGTAAAAGACAAAAGAAAACTTATTCCAAAGAACAATGCTGAGAACATGTGAGCAACGACAAAAGGGATACTTGTGCAAAGGGACAGATTAAATTATTTGGACTCATGAAGAAGAAACATTCAACAGAAATGAGGTTCTAAAGAACAATGATGAAGACATATGGGCAACAACAAAAATGGCACTTATGCTTAGAATAATGAAGAGACTGTTTAAAATTATAGGACATATAGTAAAGAAAAAGACAATAGAAAAATGGTTTTACGTACAATCCTGCGATCATATGAGCAACAAAAATAAAGCACACTTACGTTTAGAATTATAAAGAGACAGATGGAATTTCTTGGACACGTACATAAGAAAGGGATAAGTGAAATGTGTTTCTAAAGAACAATGCTGAAAGGATATCAGCAACACTAAAAAGGATATCTGTACATATGTGCAACACCAAATAGAGAACTTATGCTTAGTATTTTCAACAGACAATTGAAATTCCTGGGACGAATAATGATTAAAAAAAGAAACAGAACTGTGGTCATAAAGAGCAAGGCTGGTGACATATGCGCAAGTAAAAGTGACACTTAATAACACTTTGCTGAGAAAATATGAGCAACGACAATAAGAAGACTCATGATTAAAATCATAAATAGATAGTTGAAATTTTTAGAACACACAGTGAGGAAAAATGCAACAGAAATGTGCCTGCAAAGAACAATACTAAGAACATATGAGCAACGACAAAAAGGCCAGTTATGCTTCCAATCATATAATGATTGATGAAATTTCTGGGACACATAATGTTGAAAAAGCAATAGATATGTGGTTCTAAAAAACAATACTGAGAATATATGAACACCTAAAAAAGGATTATAAAAGAAACATTTGAAACATAAAGAGAACAATTGGACGTTTAATATATAAGTGAATTAAAAAGGACAACAGATATAATTATTCTGAATTATTTGAAAGAACATATGAGCAACGAGACACTTAATATATAACTCAATGAGAGAGTTGACATTTGTACACAGAATTAAGAAAGAAACATTTGAAAATAAAACGAGGACAAAGGGAACAATGAGTGTTACATATGTAAAAAGAATTTCAGGGACATATAATAAAGATGCGACAGAAATGTGTTTTATAAAGAAATGCTTGAAAGAACATATAAGCAACGAGGAAAATAAATATGCGGAAGTAAAAAGGACATATGTACTTAGAATTATAAAGAAACATTTGAAAGAAGAATATTCAATAGGACGTTTAATATATAAGGAAGTAAAAAAGGATTAAAAAAGAATTATTTGAAAGAAATATTTGAAAAAAAAAAGGACACTCGTACTTAAATTATAAAGAGGACAACGAGGACGTAATATATAAAGAAGTAAAAAGGACACTTGTATAAGAATTATAAAGAAAATTTGAAAGAACATATGAACAAAGGACGTTTAATATATCTGAATCCTAAAAAGAAATATGAAAAAAATTAAAAGAAACATTTGAAAATTATAAAGAAATATTTGGAACATAAAAACGAGGACGTTTAATATATAAGGGAAACAAAAGGACACTTGTACTTAGAATTATAAAGAAACATTTGAAAGAACATTCAACGAGGACACACAATGAAGAAAAGTCAACAGAAATGGGGTTCTAAATTATAAAAAACTTTGAAAAATATATGAGCAACGAGGACGTTTAATATATAAGGGAAGTAAAAAGGACACTTCAAAAATTATAAAGAAACATTTGAAAGAACATATGAGCAACAAGGACGTTTAATAAATAATGAAAAAATTCAAGGAAACTTATACTTAGAATTATAAAAGAAACGTTTGAAATTTCTACGACATAAAGAATTTAAATATCAAAGTAAAAACGTGGCTCAGAATTATAAAGAAACATTTGAATAACAAATAAATAAAGAACACGTTTTTAATATATAAAGGAAGTAAAAGACATTCTTTACTTAGAATTATAAAGAAACATTTGAAAGAACATATGAGCAAAAGGACGTTTAATATATAAGGGAAGTAAAAGGACACTTGTACTTAGAATTATAAAGAAATATTTGAAAGAACATATGAGCAACGAGGACGTTTAATATATAAGGGAAGTAAAATGAGGACAAACGACATACTTTGAATTAAAAGAAACATTTGAAAGAATGGGATATGAGCAACGAGGACGTTTAATATAAAATGGAAGCAAAAGGACACTGGTTCTAAAGAAACATTTGAAAGAAATATATGAGCAACGAGGAAATATATAAAAAAAGGATCTTGTACTTAGAATTATAAAGAAACATTTGAAAAGAACATATGAGCAACGAGGACGTTTAATATAAAGGATGAAAAAAAGGACAACAGTACTTAGAATTATAAAGAAACATTTGAAAGAACAATAGCAAGAAGACGTTTAATATATAAAAGGAAAAAAGGACACTTGTACTTAGAATTATAAAGAAACATTTGAAAGAAATATATGAGCAATATAGGACGAAGATATAAGGGAAGAAAAAAGGATCTTGTATATCAATTATAAAGAAACATTTGAAAGAACAACAAAGCAATGAGGAAAAATATATAAGCAAAGTAAAAAAAGACACTTAGAATTATAAAGAAACATTTGAAAGTTATTGGTGAGGACATATTGAAAAAAAATTAAAAGAAACAAGAGAAACGTGGCTCTGAATTATAAAGAAATAATTGAAACAACATATGAACAAGGACGTTTAAATAACAGGGAAGTAAAAGGACACTTGTATTAGAATCATAAAGAAACATTTGAAAGAAATTTCAACGAGGACATTTAATATATAAAGAAGCCAAAGACACTTGTCGTTATAAATAAAACATTTGAAAAGAACATATGAGCAACGACAAAAATGACACTTAATATATAGAATAAAAAGGACACTTTTCAAAATTTCTAAAAATAATGAAAGAAATATGAGCAACAGAAATTTGGATATATATATCAAGTAAAAAGGACATATGACGAACAATAAATAAGACACTATTTGAGGAGAATTAAAATAAGGGGAAGAAAAAGGACACTTGTACAGAAATTATAAAGAAACATTTGACAATGCTAAAAACAATCACGCCGATAATATAAATGGAAAAAGGACACTTATCCTTAGTATCAAAAAGTGACATTTAAAATTTCTGGAACACATAATTTTGATAGAAGCAACAAAAGGACGTTTCTTAGATTATCAAGAAACTTTGAAAGAATATAACCATCAAACAAAATAAGGGAATTCTTAAACTCATACACTTAGAATTATGAAATTTCCGGGAAAAAACATATGAGAAACGAACCAACATAAATTTTGTACTTAGTAAAGAAACATTTGAAAGAACATATGAGCAACGACAAAAAGGACGCTTGTGCTCAGAATCAGTTTCAGTTGAAATTTCTGACACACGTAATGAAGCAAATGTAACAGAAATGTGATTCCAAAGAAGAATGCTGAGAACTTATGAACAACTATAAAAAAGGGGAACTTGTGCTTAAAATCTTAAAGAATCTGTTGAAAATTCGTGGACACATAATGAAGAAAAATGACTTGACACTCACAGGATATAGAAAGCAATATGTAGAGCGGAAATCAGATAATAATCTACCTAGCGAGTTCTTGTAAATATCTGGGAGTAACGGGATTATGAGAGATAGCAAAATGACAGATCTTACTGAGAGCTACAGAAGATAGAAAATTAGAGGGAGCCATGATCATACACGTCATGGTACATAGAAGTCCATTTTTCGCCTTGGCTTGAGGTAATGGCTAACGCAACTAGTCTGATTAACGTTTACTACTGAATAGTGAGTTCAGTCCTCACTGAGAGCTCGATACTCAAAATGACATGAAATTATACAAAGGCTGACATATAAAATCATATCTTAATCTTATTTTCATGTTCATATTCCCTGAATCTCAAGATAATAACACTTAACTGGAAATTTCATCTCACAAAATAGTTTGAAGCTTGGATTGATTTATTGGATTGTTTTGAAATACCAATGATTTACTGGTACAATTACTATTAATTAACCCTTCAGCTGGGTCGGGGTAGAAGAGACGAATTCATAGCCTTCCCAAATGTATTTGCGCCTAAATTATTATAACGAACCCGACTGGAATAGGAACCCGACTCTTCGATTTGTAACTCCGAGCTCCATTACACCACTTGCACATCCAATCTTACAGCACCTTTACTTTCCAAGCCGTCACGCAGCAAGTTACTAACCAGGCTCGACGTTGCTTAACTCATGTGATCATAAGAGAACCGGTGTTTTAACGCAATGCGGGAAAGCAAAAGGAACAGAAGGAGACAGCGAGTTAGCTACCTAATGACTTTATGTAAATACAACGGTAACAAGGATGGCGGGCGTGGGGGCGTAAAGAGATCAGTGCCGTTTAGAGCAACAAGGAAAAGGAAGCTGTGGAGAGACATGATAGCCTACCTCCTTGACACGGTTACACACACCATACATTAAAATCAAATATTGGAAAACATCGGACATGATATTTAAAGGCTCCAAAATACAACACTGATATCTTTTGTGGCATAGTAAACGGAGCCATGATCATACACGTCATGGTACATAGAAGTCCATTTTTCGCTTTGGCTTGAGATAATGGCTAACCCAACTAGCCTGATTAACGTTTACTACTGAGTAGTGAGTTCAATCCTCACTGAGAGCTCGATAGTAAATATAAGTACAGTGTAACCCGGATATAAGAGAAACCCGGATATAAGAGACTTCTTCTCCGGTCCCGACAACTCTCATATCCGGGTTACACTGTATTGTTTAATTATAAATTTCTGTAATCTAGTGGTCATGAGTTCAATACCTGTAATAGAAGAAGATAGTTTTGCCTATCGTCCGGTTCATACACCTCCTTGATCTTTTGTACAGGAGTAGTGGTTTGTTCCTTGTTTCCTGTTAAGGAATAGGATTTCTGCTCTCTTCTAAATTCTACTTCATCTCTGTACTTTTAACGTCTCCGCCTGAACACTGAAAAATCTTTCGCTAATTAAATATTGAATTCTTCAAGTTTCGAATTAGGTATCTTTGCTGTTATCTTGTCTTTTCTTACGCTAATGCAACTCCACACATAACCCCCCCACACACACACACACTTCAGAGGCTCTTGGGCCAATTATTGGATGAATATTAGTAGGAAAAAAAAAGAGAATATGTAATCGCTATAGATCTACTTTGTCGCAATTAACTAAGTTTGCTTAAAAATATTTTCTTAAGAAAAGGAAAAAACTGTTTGGGTAAAGTATTAATGGTAATATTATGAGAGAATAAATCGGGTTGTTGAACTGCTATAGCGACTGCCGGTTCGCCTGCAGTGAATGCGTCTCTATGCCCGCTGCTGACAAAAACAAAACTCAGTAGTATAATCAGGACAAGTCTACGATCCAACAAGGCGCAGACTACATCGAAACATGCCGTGTAAATACAAGAGAGAAGTTGTGAAAAGATGTCATCTTCCCGATAGCTAGCACGAGTACTGTGACTGCTTCGGCTACTATCATTTTCGTTGTTAGCTGTAAAACGACGCGGGAGTAAACGTTTTTTTGAGATTTCAGTCAGCGCCAACTAGTCATTGATTTTTATATAATCTTACCATTAAATATTTAGCATTTCATATAAGCTTAAAGATAGCCGTAAAAAAAGATTACGATATCAATAGAAGGCGTCTCATTGTATATTTTTTATCAATTATTTGTCTTCAATTTAATCGTGTTTAACAATTTATATAAAGACATATGTAAATGACACTTATGATACAGCTGAACCTTCTGTTTTAAACTTAATCATTTATCTATCTATCTATCTTTTGACCGATCAATCTGACTGTCGCTTTCGCTAATTCAACAATTACCAAATATGCAAATATTCCTCTGTCCACATTATATCCACAGACGATATTAAGCATATTTCCCTCATAAAAGAATACCTTTCTTTACAATACCTGAAAAAGCAATATATATGTACGTGCAAGTACATGTGTTGATTTTTATCATATATATATATATATATATATATATATGCTGATTTGATTTAGGAATAAGCAATGCATGGTGATAGAGAGCTTGACGTTTCAAGCGATCTTGAATCCGTTTGTCACTCGTCACTTTCTTTAAAGGCTACGATGTTATTTACATATATCTATCAATTTATCTTTATTTATACCTAATCTCTCTCAATACATATCTATATTTATTAATATATATATATATATATATATATATATATATATATATATATATATGTAAAAATGATATATGTAGAAATTATATGTAGAAATATATATATATATATATATATATATATATATATATATATGTGTGTGTGTGTGTGTGTGTGTGTATATATATATATATTTCTACATTTATATATATATATATATATATATATATTTTTACATATAATTTCTATGCGCGTGTGACGTGGGGGGTACCTCTAGGTGGTGTAATGGTTTACAAGCTTGTCTCGCTCAGAACTATTGCGAATGAGTAGTGAGTTCGATCCTCACTGGATACCCTATACTTTCGGCCGTGTGCCACGTCTGAGCTACGCTGGGAAAATCACTATATGTGTATATATATATATATATATGAAAAATAGTGACTAAATTGACGAGAAAGAAAAAATATATTTATTAAGTCATATATATATCTCATTATTTCAAACAGCTTTTCTTACTCCTTATCGCATTTGTTTGAATTTTATTTTAACGTTTTCTTTTTGTCTTAATTAATATGTCAAATATTACTGATATATATATATATATATATATATATATATATATATATATATATATATATATATATGAAAGAACGGACAACTACAGAAGGCCGAATAACAGAAGAAGCATTTACAATATTTTGACTGGGCGATGTCCGTTTTTAGTAAGCAAAATCAGCGCAACTTAAATGTTTATCAAAAATAATCCCAAAATATACTGCGGAAATGTATGTTCGACTAATACAATAGTCCATGTGCCTGAATTTATATATATATATAAATATAGTTTTTAAGGTATGCTATATTTATGGATAAAATGGCTCAATATCAGGGATAGACCATATGTACTCTGAGCAGAGATAGGCTGTTGCTTGAACGCAATTCTTCATGCCATGCTGGTTTGAATATTGCGTTCAAGCACTCGGTGTTGACCTTACTGTTCCCTTATATATAGTTATATGCAGTGACTCTATCATATATATATATATATATATATATATATATATATATATATTTAAAAAAATATACAAAATAATTTTACAAACTTTGGCTCGTTTTAAATAAATTTACTGTGGAATCTGGAATCCACGATTTTGTGAAAGTATTTTTTCTTGGATTGAAGATTTAACAGCGTCTACCGTAAACTTTACGTTTAATAACTCGAATACGAATACGATGAATTTGTGTACACATGTTTCTACTGCTTTTGTCCTTGTTTTGCTGTGAGGAACCCGCTACCACTTAATATATATATATATATGGGATTGTTTATAAGTGATGTAATAGGAAAGACCAATTAGATTAATGATAAGTGTTTTTACTATTTATGTTTTTTTAAATTGCTTTATATATAATTAGAGCTTAAATTATATATATATATATATATATATATATATATATATATATATATATATATATATATATATATATGTGTGTGTGTGTGTGTGTGTGATATACCAAAGACAATATTTTTTTTTATTTTATAAGAAATCGATTTAATATGCTTTCTATCGTAAACATATGTATTCTAAGCTGTCATTTGAACTCAGTTTCCAAATTCATTATCCTTGCGGATAACTGTTACACGGCCGGTTGTGACTTTTATAAGTAACAATTCTTTACACATGTGTCATTCTAAAGATGAATGTCTTAATCAGTCCAGAAAAAAATATTAAATTTTAAAAATCATAGAAGCTAAAAATCCTCAAACGAATTTTGAAAAGAATTTCGTGGTAAATCAATTAGTATTGCTATAAATCTTGTCAATGGTTTTGAATTTTTATGTATTTACATTTCGTTTCATTTCAGTCATGACAGAACATCGACAATAAATGCGCGAGTTTAATTTATTCATTATTCGCTGCTCTTCACTTTGTTTTCAAAATGATTTCCCGATATTTACAATTCGAATCCAGAAAATAGAGTTTAATATGAAATGATACAAGTTAGTTAATCTCCGAAGAAATTTAAGCAAGAGATTTAAAAATCCCATAAAATATTATCTATGACTTTCAGAAATGTCTTTAACCTTCCATGACTTTCGGGTAATTTTATCGCTTTTGCTTAGATTTGATCAAGTCATTTTGGCATCATCGAAGAAGCGAAGAAACGATTTGATTGTCAAAAGAAAAAAATCAGTTCGTAAAATGTCTATGTTTTATCAAAATACATTTTCTGAAAATAAAACTCAAATCAGAAGAAAGAAAGAAGAAAGTCTAGAAGTGCTGACTGCACATTTACCTGCCTGCCTTGAAAATCATCATTTCAGATCTTGGTGTTTATCTCGAAACCTAACCGACCTTTCAGACGACTTCAAAACAAACAACACATATAGCAACATCTACAATTTTGAAACCGTTTAGGAGAATCGATTTATTGATTGCTTGTTTGATTTAGTTGTTTTTTTTACGACTTAACAACCCTTTGTGGGTGAAAAAATATTCAGGATCGATTATTTGATTGCATGTTTGATTTTTTACGACTTATCAACCCTTTGTGTGTTATTAAAAATATTCAAGAAAATATATGTTTCAAGTCTACTATAGGTAATTTCTCTTTCCATTATTGCCGGTAGTTTTCTTCCTAAGCTTTTGTTTAAAATACTGTGTAATGCCAACATCTTAATTATATCATTAATTTCTCATGGTGATAAACATTTTTTTGCTGTTGTTAAAAGTCCTTAAGTGATGTAATTTCTTTTAACTGTTTCTTTGCGATTCTGGACAGTCTACAAGTTTTGAGGAAGGATGGTATTTGCTGCATTCGTTCGTTTTGAAACATTGATCTGAGAAAACGGTTGTATGCAGTTGGCAATTTAGATATTTCTGAACGGGTTTGGCGCCATGCATGACATCCATATGAATCTCCCGACCTTACGAGTCTATTTAATTACATGACGCCAGTTTTCTGATTAATGTTTTTATTTTGTAACTATCTGCGGTGTTAGGCGAAACTAACCCTTGTACAATCTACTATGCTGTATTTCATTATCTTATAACCGAGACATACACCGACGTATTTAAACTGTTTCATATTT